AAAAAAAGGCAATCCCCAAAACTTTAGAACTATACACAAAAAAACGACATGGTAGGCCTTTCAGTGTGACCTTCACCTTCTTTGTGCCACCAGTTGTTTAAACCAGGCGGAGGCACTGATGTAAGTGTTCATTGGTGAGTGTGCGTTGATGTTCATGGTTGAAAAGGCAGATTCACAGCAGTACGTTGAGGGAAACATGGTGAGAATTTGAAGGGCCATCTTCTGCAGGAGAGGAACACCTGCTGCAGTTACCATCTTCGTCCAGAAGGTGACAGGGTCACAGCGAGATTCCTGCAGTGCTAGGTTTTCTTGGAGATCAATTAGCTCTGTTTGCAGAGAAGCAGCATTGGCCCATGGGAAGACTTTCGTGGCTTCAGTTGAGAATTCTGCAATATTTTTGACAAGAAATGGATTTTCGATGCACAACAAGACTTGTTTTCCCAGAGGGAAATCTTCAAAGCGAGTTTGGACATGTTTAATCAGCTTTTCCAGGAATTCAGCATAATTGTGATGGTGATGTTTTCCTGCAGTCTGATCCAAAAGTCTTGGGAAATGAAGCAGGTTCTGCTGTAAGTCACATTTGAACACCTCCAGCTTCCTCTGGAAAGCATGGACAGCTGACATGAGGTCACACACTGTGCTGTTTTTGCCCTGGAGCTTCATATTAAGGTCATTGAGATGGGAAGTAATGTCAGTTAGAAAAGCAACAACTTCCATTTCCTCTTCATTCTTCATGAAATCCACAAACGGTTTGGCTTTTGCACTTTTCTGATTCAACAGAAATGTCTCCAGCTCTTTCCGCTGTGCCCAAAACCGCTCCAGTACCTTGCCTTTACTAAGCCACCGGACATTGTTGGAGCAAATCATCAAATGTTGCATTCACCTCTATTAGAAATGAGCGCAACAAACGATGTTGCAGAACAGAGGATGCTCTCAGATAGTTGAGAAGTTTCATGACTGTTGTCATTACTTCTAGGTACCTTTCTCCAAGGCTGGCACACAAAACCATCCGGTGAATTATGCAGTGGTATGCCATTCTTCATGAAATTCTCCCATTTCTTCATCATAACTATAGCGATGCTGTTACAGCTGCTGTGATTGGACATAGATGAAGCAGTCAAACCGAGTAGAAGCCTCAAAGATATATAGCGCGGAATCCCAACTCCATTGAAAACTAATTTTGATTATGATTAAATTAGCATGTTGGTTTGGGCGCGTCGGTCCAGATTTAACCGTGTCTGGGTCCGGATGCGGACCGGAGTCCGCCTATTGAGTACTCCTGCTATAGAGACTGTGTCTGTTCCCCGAATTAGAAAATACAAAAAACGTAACAATTTAATTGATGTTCAACAAATAAAAAACAGATGTAATACCAATAAACAAATGATAAAGCTTGGCTTATTGAATATCAGGTCCCTTTCTACGAAAGCACTTTTTGTAAATGATACGATCACTGATCATAACCTAGATGTGCTCTGTTTGACAGAAACCTGGCTAAAACCCTAATAATTACATTATTACTGCTGGTTTCGTCTGGTCAGAGGAGAACTGGCCCCCGACCGAGCCTGGTTTCTCCCAAGGTTTTTTTTCTCCATTCTGTCACCGATGGAGTTTTGGTTCCTCTGGCTTGCTTAGTTGGGGACACTTAATATCCAGCGATATCGTCGACTTGATTGCACAGATACTGTTTAAACTGAACTGAGCTGGATGATGACATCACTGAATTCAATGATGAACTGCCTTTAACTGAAAATTGAGTGTTTAATCTTGTCATTTTACATTATTGACACACTATTTTCCTATTTGATACTGTAAAGTGCATTGACACAATCTGTATTGTTAAAGGCGCTACATAAATAAAGTTGACTTGACTTGATATAGTTTGATAAGTGCATGGAGCAATGGCTACAAAATGTTAGCGTATATTTTCTAAATGGTTTGACTAAAATTATTTTGATAACTTTGTCATTATTAATGTCTATAGATACATGCAACAATTTGTGTGAATTAGTCACGTGGTTTAAGAGGAGATGGGAAAATAAGATTTTGCCCACTCAAAATGGCCGATGGTCTACAACATGTTGTACTAATGTTGTCCACTAGTGGGAAACACAAGATGAGAAATCATCTATCAGGTTCCATCACTCTGAAAAACAAATAAATTCTTACAGGGGTAAATGTTTACAGAGGTGAAAGCTGTGTGTTTTCATATACTATATTTTATAGTATATAAAAATTGTTTATTTATGATATATTTTTGTCATCATTTACATGTAAATGTACCAACTGATGTCTGTAGTTCACATATATAATACTCAGAAGGGATCAGATAACTGACATTGTGTACGCAGATTTTTTGTTTCACCAATTTCTCAGGGATCAACTGTTAATATCAATGTGAATGACACATCAACCCACATAAACTGAAATCAGTGTAAATGGTTTAGAATAATGACTTGTAGCAAAATGCAAAATAAAAAACTTAATTATCATTAAATGTTACCTTAATATAGGTAACTATATCTAGGTTAATAAATAGGTTATATATAGTTTCATATATAGGTTAATATATCCAAATAATATTACAAACATTTGTCAAGTTGCATGACATAACTTTATAAATTGTTGTTCAGTTAAAATAAAAGGTTGCCTCTTTTTATTGCAGTAGCCTACATATTGCTGCTTAAAAAACTTAATTATCATTAAATGTTACCTTAATATAGGTAACTATATCTAGGTTAATAAATAGGTTATATATAGTTTCATATATAGGTTAATATATCCAAATAATATTACAAACATTTGTCAAGTTGCATGACATAACTTTATAAATTGTTGTTCAGTTAAAATAAAAGGTTGCCTCTTTTTATTGCAGTAGCCTACATATTGCTGCTTTCAAGTGTACTCATGCCAACCTTCATGAATTTCTGATGCCCTGATTGCTGCTTACAACAATTTATAAAATGTCAGCAATTTATATCAATAGAAATAAGAGATGAAGGACGTTACACTAATGTTGTCCACCTGAGGAAGGCACAAGACAACAAATTATTTTAGATTGTGTAGTTTCAAATCGGTGTAAATGGTTCAACAGATCGGTTTTCAAAGAAATCGGTGATCTCCAAAACACCTTCAAATTTATACATCATAATTTCAGAAAACAGTCAAGTTGTCAGACATGATTGGATATATTATAGTCCAGTTAAAATGAAGAGACAATATTATTTGTCTATTGTGATATGTTACATAAAATAATACTTCCATAGAAAGACACTTAAATAGGCCTACTAGTATTATGTTTGAAAAGAGACATGGCCATTGGAACGTAAGGGTACTTTTTATTTTATTTTACAAAGAACACAAACAGGGTCACATTTAAATGACTTTTCATATATTTGTAAGTCTGCTGTTTTTATTACACCAATCACAATTGAACTGTCTTTCTCCAGAGTGAATGCATTATTTCTAAACCTTTTGTCACATGGGAAACGAGGAATTCTTTCCAGAATGAGTTTGCAAATGCTGTTTCAGGCTTTTGTTATATGTGAAACTGATGTCACACTGAAGACACTTGTAAGGCTTCTCTCCAGTGTGAAGTCTAATGTGTTCCTTAAGGCTTCCTTTAACTGTGAAGCTCTTTTCACACTGAGGACACTTGTAAGGCCTCTCTCCAGTGTGAATTTTTATGTGCACCTTAAGTTTTCCTTTAAACACTATCAGGTTCCATCACTCTGAAAAACAAATAAATTCTTACAGGGGTAAATGTTTACAGAGGTGAAAGCTGTGTGTTTTCATATACTATATTTTATAGTATATAAAAATTGTTTATTTATGATATATTTTTGTCATCATTTACATGTAAATGTACCAACTGATGTCTGTAGTTCACATATATAATACTCAGAAGGGATCAGATAACTGACATTGTGTACGCAGATTTTTTGTTTCACCAATTTCTCAGGGATCAACTGTTAATATCAATGTGAATGACACATCAACCCACATAAACTGAAATCAGTGTAAATGGTTTAGAATAATGACTTGTAGCAAAATGCAAAATGCAAAAAAAAAAACTTAATTATCATTAAATGTTACCTTAATATAGGTAACTATATCTAGGTTAATAAATAGGTTATATATAGTTTCATATATAGGTTAATATATCCAAATAATATTACAAACATTTGTCAAGTTGCATGACATAACTTTATAAATTGTTGTTCAGTTAAAATAAAAGGTTGCCTCTTTTTATTGCAGTAGCCTACATATTGCTGCTTTCAAGTGTACTCATGCCAACCTTCATGAATTTCTGATGCCCTGATTGCTGCTTACAACAATTTATAAAATGTCAGCAATTTATATCAATAGAAATAAGAGATGAAGGACGTTACACTAATGTTGTCCACCTGAGGAAGGCACAAGACAACAAATTATTTTAGATTGTGTAGTTTCAAATCGGTGTAAATGGTTCAACAGATCGGTTTTCAAAGAAATCGGTGATCTCCAAAACACCTTCAAATTTATACATCATAATTTCAGAAAACAGTCAAGTTGTCAGACATGATTGGATATATTATAGTCCAGTTAAAATGAAGAGACAATATTATTTGTCTATTGTGATATGTTACATAAAATAATACTTCCATAGAAAGACACTTAAATAGGCCTACTAGTATTATGTTTGAAAAGAGACATGGCCATTGGAACGTAAGGGTACTTTTTATTTTATTTTACAAAGAACACAAACAGGGTCACATTTAAATGACTTTTCATATATTTGTAAGTCTGCTGTTTTTATTACACCAATCACAATTGAACTGTCTTTCTCCAGAGTGAATGCATTATTTCTAAACCTTTTGTCACATGGGAAACGAGGAATTCTTTCCAGAATGAGTTTGCAAATGCTGTTTCAGGCTTTTGTTATATGTGAAACTGATGTCACACTGAAGACACTTGTAAGGCTTCTCTCCAGTGTGAAGTCTAATGTGTTCCTTAAGGCTTCCTTTAACTGTGAAGCTCTTTTCACACTGAGGACACTTGTAAGGCCTCTCTCCAGTGTGAATTTTTATGTGCACCTTAAGTTTTCCTTTAAACATGAAGCTCTTTCCACACTGAGGGCAGGTGAAAGGCTTCTCTCCAGTGTGAATTTTTATGTGAGACTGAAGATATTTTTTGATTGTGAAACTTTTTCCACAGTGATGGCACATGCCAGGCCTCTCCCCAATGTGATTTTGTACATGATTCTTAAGGTGACTCCTGTCAGCAAAACTTGTTTCACACACATGACATCTAAAATATTTCTCTCTTGAGTGAATATTCATGTGATGCTTAAGGCTTATTTTCCGTTTGAAACTCTTTCCACACAGTTCGCAGGTGTGAGGCTTCTCTCCGGTGTGAACTCTCATGTGAATCATCAGATGGCTATTTTCTGTGAATCCCTTCCCACACAGTTTGCAGGTGTGAGGCTTCTCTCCAGTGTGAACGATCATGTGAGACATCAGACGAGCATTTGATGTGCAACTCTTCCCACACAGTTTGCAGGTGTGAGGATTGTCTCCAGTGTGAATTCTCATGTGAGTCTTAACACATCTTTTTAGTTTGAAACACTTCCCACACTGTTTGCAGGTATAAGGTTTGTGTTTGTGGATTCGTAAGTGGCTTGTAAGGCTTTGTTTTCCACTGAAACTCTTTCCACAGTGTTGACAGGTGGAAGATCTATCTTCAGTGTGAACTCTCATCTGGACTTTAGGCTGTGTAGTTTCTCTATTAAGAGTCTGAGAGTAACTAAAAGATTTTTCCCCAGCCATATCATCATGACATTTCTCAGTCTGATTTTTTTCTTCGGTTTCATTCAGTTCTCGACTCTTCTCTTTCAGCGCCGTCAGGTCTAAGGTGAAAAGAAACAAAAATAAGTTAAGACCAGTTTATTGGCACAAAGCAAGATAAACATCAAATCCAACAACATGTATGCTAGATCTGAAGAAAGTGTAACCTGTAATCTCAGAACCTTGTGTCCTTAAGTCTTTGCTTTCTCTAGGACACGTCCCAAATACCAACAAATACAAAATAAAGCGATCTGTCAGTGGACACGACAAGAGCATGTCAGTGTTTTGCTTAATACCAGTTTTCAGTTTCCGTAATTTAGAATAAATATCTGATAGTTAGGAGGATTAATACATTTAACTCTTATTTTATTTAAAAGTTTATGCTGATTGGGCATGTTGTTTACCATTAGCTGTAATTAGAATTTACAAAAAGACTTGTTGCTAACTGAATATTTGTGCTTGAGTAGCAAACTGTACCACATTTAGTTTAGATTTCGAGACAACTGCACACTATAGGCTTTGCTGTGCTAATTAGAAAAGCGTGGACAGCTGTTTTCACTCAAGTGAGTTAGCTCTGTATTTAGGTGGAGTTTGTTCAGTGGCGCAGAAGCGTCAGCAGAAGCATTAGCCCTCCTTGTGTGAAGACCTACGAGTGTAAAGACAACTTATCCCCCCCCCCCCACAACAGGTTGGGAGAGGTGGGGGTACGTGTCTCCTCATTTCCAAAAGATGGAAATACCGCCCATGCTCTTATAACCTCAACAACACTTCCTTTGAATTTTATGCCGTTAGGGCTGCACGGTTAATCAAATGCGATTGTCATGCACATCTCGTCAGTAAAGCCAGGTATGTGATAAGTGGTAAATTTCCATCACCTGCTTTCAAATGGAGCAGCATTTACTACACAGAGCCGTATTTCTGACAAGCTATGCAAAAATAAAAATCAAGTCACAACTTCTTGCTACTGGGGTTCCTCAAGGCTCAGTGCTTGGACCACTTCTCTTCTCCATCTACATGTCATCATTAGGGTCTGTTATTCAGAAGCATGGCTTTTCTTATCACTGCTATGCTGAAGACACTCAACTCTACTTCTCATTCCAACCAGATGATCCAACAGTAGCTGTTCGAATTGCAGCCTTTCTGACAGACATTTCTGACTAGATGCAGGACCATCACCTTCAACTCAACCTTGCTAAGAAAGAACTGCTCATGGTCTCATCCAACCCCGCAATTCACTACAACTACTCTATACAGCTAGGTTCGTCCACCATAGCTCTTTCCAGGACAGCCAGGAACCATGGAGTTGTGACTGATGATCAGTTAAGCTTTACATACCATATTGCTACTATGGCCTGGTCTTGCAGATTTGCCTTTTACAACATTATAAAGATAAGACCCTTCCTACCATAGAAGGCCACACAGCTCCTTGTCCAAACTTTTGTTCTCTCCAGACTGGACTATTGTTATGCTCTCTCAGCGGGTTTCCAGCATGTACTATCAAGTCTCTGCAACTGATCCAGAATGTGGCAGCTAGAGTTGTCTTCAACGAGTCGAAGAAAGCTCACGTCACACCTCTCTTCATCAGTTTGCACTGACTGCCAATAGCCGCTTGCATCAAATTCAAGCTACTGATGTTTGCCTACAGGATAACCACTGGCTTTGCACCAATATACCTAAACTAGCTAGTTCAGACTTATACACCCTCCAGAAGCTTGCATTCTGCAAATGAACAATGCCTTGTGGTGCTATCTCAAAGAGTCACAAAATCACTCTCACTGACCTTTTTCTGGACTATTTCCAGTTGGTGGAATGACCTGCATTTCTCAATTCAAGCAGCTGAGTCTTTAGCCATTTTCCAAAAAACATCTAAAAGACACATTTTTTTGTTATTATTATTTGTCAATTATGAGTATGCGTTATATCACATACATTTTAGTATAATGGTTTTCTAGTCTCCGCTGCAGCAAAACAGTTGTGTTTTTTTTGTAGCCCAACAAATGAAACTGTGAAATGTTCATGAAGTGACTCTCATATCAGCTCTGCAGATGAAGTTCAGGTGTTCATGACCTAATATAGTGAAACATAGACGCCGAAAACACCACAAGCATCACACATGCCGAAACTGTGGTGCTCATTCACACAGACAAACAGAACATACAGACTTAAGATTTCAATAGCAACCTTTTTGAGCTTTAATATTCACAGACACGAATCCATATAAAGATATGATTAATTATACAGTTTTACTTTTGAATCATTATTCCAAAAAATTTAAAATTCCTTGACTAATTGAATGCAATGCTTTGTGCCTGTAATTTTGGGGTGAGTTTCCCTGACACCAGGGGTGTCAATCTCAGGAAGTGCAGAGTTTAGCTCCCACCATGATCAAACACACTTGAACCAGCTAATCAAGGACTTATGGACTATCAACCATTTTCTTTTGTCATACTGACTCTTATCCTCAGAGTTGAAGACAATTTTTAGCCAACCACCCTTTGACGTCAGTCTAACTAATGTCAAATAGAAGAAAGATGAACAGGCATCATGCTCTATGGAAAGATACAATTGAAGATCATCAGCATAAAAATGATAGCTCTATATTTCTTAAAAATGAACCCCAGGGGCAACATTTACAATGAAAAAAAGAGTTGGACCCAGAATCAATCCTTGTGGGACCCCCAATAATATTAATAGATGATGAGCCACAGGTCTCAACCCAAACTGAACTTGTCTTATCCTGCGAATTTGAGGGGTAGGATTAAGGGCTGCACACTTGATATCCACATAATAAGATGTTATATTAAGTTGACCTAAGTTGAAGCCAGCACTGGTTGAGGAACACTTGATAATTACAGGCAGGTGTGTTGGAGCAAGACTGGCACTGTACTCTGTAGAAAGATAGATCCCCAAAATCAGGATTGGGCACTCCTGCTTTTAGCCCTAACGTTTGTGTAAATTCTTCACTATCTCTACGAGCTGTAGCAATGATATTGGTGCAACCTGGAGTGCAAATACACATGGGTTATTTCTGGTATTCACAGTTTTTTGTTTTGTTTTACAGTGGGGAAAAAATAAGGATTTACCTCGGAAAATAGACGCGCCGAGAGGAATAACCCAGGATTTACCTCGGAAAATAGACGCGCCGAGAGGAATAACCCAGGATTTACCTCGGAAAATAGACGCGCCGAGACTCGGAAAATAGACCCGCAGAGAGGAATAACCCAGGAATTACCTCGGAAAATAGACCCGCAGAGAGGAATAACCCAGGAATTACCTCGGAAAATAGACCCGCAGAGAGGAATAACCCAGGAATTACCTCGGAAAATAGACCCGCAGAGAGGAATAACCCAGGAATTACCTCGGAAAATAGACCCGCAGAGAGGAATAACCCAGGAATTACCTCGGAAAATAGACCCGCAGAGAGGAATAACCCAGGAATTACCTCGGAAAATAGACCCGCAGAGAGGAATAACCCAGGAATTACCTCGGAAAATAGACCCGCAGAGAGGAATAACCCAGGAATTACCTCGGAAAATAGACCCGCAGAGAGGAATAACCCAGGAATTACCTCGGAAAATAGACCCGCAGAGAGGAATAACCCAGGAATTACCTCGGAAAATAGACCCGCAGAGAGGAATAACCCAGGAATTACCTCGGAAAATAGACCCGCAGAGAGGAATAACCCAGGAATTACCTCGGAAAATAGACCCGCAGAGAGGAATAACCCAGGAATTACCTCGGAAAATAGACCCGCAGAGAGGAATAACCCAGGAATTACCTCGGAAAATAGACCCGCAGAGAGGAATAACCCAGGAATTACCTCGGAAAATAGACCCGCAGAGAGGAATAACCCAGGAATTACCTCGGAAAATAGACCCGCAGAGAGGAATAACCCAGGAATTACCTCGGAAAATAGACCCGCAGAGAGGAATAACCCAGGAATTACCTCGGAAAATAGACCCGCAGAGAGGAATAACCCAGGAATTACCTCGGAAAATAGACCCGCAGAGAGGAATAACCCAGGAATTACCTCGGAAAATAGACCCGCAGAGAGGAATAACCCAGGAATTACCTCGGAAAATAGACCCGCAGAGAGGAATAACCCAGGAATTACCTCGGAAAATAGACCCGCAGAGAGGAATAACCCAGGAATTACCTCGGAAAATAGACCCGCAGAGAGGAATAACCCAGGAATTACCTCGGAAAATAGACCCGCAGAGAGGAATAACCCAGGAATTACCTCGGAAAATAGACCCGCAGAGAGGAATAACCCAGGAATTACCTCGGAAAATAGACCCGCAGAGAGGAATAACCCAGGAATTACCTCGGAAAATAGACCCGCAGAGAGGAATAACCCAGGAATTACCTCGGAAAATAGACCCGCAGAGAGGAATAACCCAGGAATTACCTCGGAAAATAGACCCGCAGAGAGGAATAACCCAGGAATTACCTCGGAAAATAGACCCGCAGAGAGGAATAACCCAGGAATTACCTCGGAAAATAGACCCGCAGAGAGGAATAACCCAGGAATTACCTCGGAAAATAGACCCGCAGAGAGGAATAACCCAGGAATTACCTCGGAAAATAGACCCGCAGAGAGGAATAACCCAGGAATTACCTCGGAAAATAGACCCGCAGAGAGGAATAACCCAGGAATTACCTCGGAAAATAGACCCGCAGAGAGGAATAACCCAGGAATTACCTCGGAAAATAGACCCGCAGAGAGGAATAACCCAGGAATTACCTCGGAAAATAGACCCGCAGAGAGGAATAACCCAGGAATTACCTCGGAAAATAGACACACCGAGAGGAATAACCCAGGAATTACCTCGGAAAATAGACGCGCCGAGAGGAATAACCCAGGAATTACCTCGGAAAATAGACGCGCCGAGAGGAATAACCCAGGAATAACCTCGGAAAATAGACGCGCCGAGAGGAATAACCCAGGAATAACCTCGGAAAATAGACGCGCCGAGAGGAATAACCCAGGAATTACCTCGGAAAATAGACACACCGAGAGGAATAACCCAGGAATTACCTCGGAAAATAGACCCGCAGAGAGGAATAACCCAGGAATTACCTCGGAAAATAGACCCGCAGAGAGGAATAACCCAGGAATTGATTTACCTCGGAAAATAGACTCGCCGAGAGGAATAACCCAGGAATAACCTCGGAAAATAGACGCGCCGAGAGGAATAACCCAGGAATTACCTCGGAAAAAAAAACAAGATGCGATGTTTGAAATCGAGTGAAACATATTTTTTACGACGCTATGATGTTTTCATGCGCTATAATTTAAAACAATACGATATAAAAGTAATATGAGTGCATGATGAATGCTACGAGTCTAAGAATGTTTAGACTAGGGCTGCACGATATATCGAAATATCGCAATATGCATGTCGCAATGGCGTGCGATATCTGAATCATTTTAGTAATAGGCTACTTAAATCAAAATGTTGCAAAAGGTCAAAGTTTTAGTTCGACACATATAGCAGAGAATTGCTTGAGTTAAGTGCAATAAGTTGCAGAAAACAACTCTTTGCCATCTCGTCTTGCTGTCTGACTCACACCTGAAGCGCGCGCACACAGAGAGATGTGTTTCAGACCGAGTTAATTCGTCTTTCGCATCTCCTCCTCATGTTTGAACAGACACCTACACACAGAATTATGTCAATAGTACCCGTCTCGACGATCATTCTCGTAAACGCAGTCCGTTAGGTTTTAAATGAATGTAAACAGCTGAGAAAGCAATCAGATTATACTGGATCCGTGCAGTGGGATTTAAAGGGACAGCAGCCTATAAATACCTGCTGCTGAATATGTCACTAATGTTAATCAAACAACAAAACAGCTATAACAAAGATTAATCTAAATTTAATTCATACAGTGAACACTATGCAGTGTTATTTTACACTTAATTATTACATTTCTGTACCCGAATGCTACTGTTTATTTTATCTATGCTTGTAAATTGTGTATTTCTTTTTTTTTACTGACTGTTCACTTGCCTTTAATCATGTTTGAACTTTCTCAGACTATAGTGTTTGCTGTGGTATGAAGAAGTACTTAAAGTGTGTGGAAAGCAAAGTTACAATGATATAAAATGAGTCATTCATTTGTTTGTTTGTATGTTCACACTGATGTTAAATTACATTTCCTGATTTGTGACATTACTTTTTAAGTAATGCTAAAACACTGCTGGTCACTTTCAGAAGTTGTAGTGATTCTTTATTTTCCAAGAAAGAATGTGAAAACAAATTGGTTATATAATTTTCATTTTTAAATTATACACACTTTAAGCAATATAGTATCGCATATCGAATATCGCATTTTTAACAAGATATCGCATATCACATTTTTCTTCAATATCGCACAGCCCTAGTTTAGACCATGTTTATTATTAATACTCTGCTCACAAATAGATTTTATAAATATATTTCTATAGATGATTAACGTCCTAAACAATCATTTGTTTCTCTGATATAAAATGTGCTTTTTACGATAATACAAAGCATGCGTGAGTCTTTGAATACAAAATCTATATATATATATATATATATATATATACAGATGCTCTTGATATTAACATGCTCACAGATGTTTTTTTGTTTTTTAGTGATCAGATACCTGCACCAGCTCAAGGGCCTCAAAATCACCTCAGACCCCAGAGGGTTAATGTTACACAAAATAGTTGTTTTGTTTGGCTATTTCCTTATAATTCTTCCTAAATAAATTAATTACGTCATTGATTCTGTTGTGAGACAAATAACAGATAAAGAGATGCATGACACAGAATGACTGAAGGAAGACTTTGAGAATGAAACCAACCTGATTGTTCCTCAGTATCTTCACGTTCGACTCTGAAATCTTCTTCAATTTTCACATCTTCACTCTCCTCTTTAATAAACAGTATATTTGTTTGTTGTTCCTCAGTATCTTCATGTTTGAATGGTTCTTCAATCTTCATGTCTTCACTCTCCTCTTTAATAAAAGCCATCTTTATAACAGTGTCTCGAGGATCTCAGCTTCAGCAGGAGTTTATCTGTGTGTTTAAGATCAGAATAATTAACAGATAGATCTCTGTGTGCGTCTCAATCAGCTCCCTACTTCAGTAGTCAGCACACTAGTAAGGGAGTCAGTCAGAGTCAGAGTAGAGCTGCATGATTTTGGGAGAAATAAATCTAATTGTGATTTTTCTTGTTAAAATGTTTTTTTTTGTTGTTGTTTTTTTTTTAATCAAATAGGGGAAAAACAAAGAGCAACAAGAATTTTTGGAAATACAAAATATTCTTAACTTTTTCTTAAGTTAAAAAATAAGAAAATGGCAGTTAAGAAGAAATTTCTTCATTAAAGGGGTCATATGATGCTGCTAAAAAGAACATTATTTTGTGTATTTGGTGTAATGAAATGTGTTTATGCGGTTTAAGGTTCAAAAAACACATTATTTTCCACATACTGTACATTATTGTTTCTCCTCTATGCCCCGCCTTTCTGAAACGCATCGATTTTTACAAAGCTCATCGGTCTGAAAAGCGAGGTGTGCTGTGATTGGCCAGCTATCCAGTGCGTTGTGATTGGCCGAATACCTCAAGCGTGTGACGGAAATGTTACGCCCCTCACCATACTGTGCTGCCCTGTCCGGCCGGAGCGACGAGACAAAAACATTAAAACCCATTATAAACGAGGCATTTGTTGCATCCAGTGGGGACATAATTACTGATTATTATAACTTAGGGGCTGTTCACGTCGCGCCTAAAAACGCGTTGAAAATGCTAGGCGCGCTGCTTTCTGCTTTTATCCAAAGCGTTCGGGCGCTGCCGTTGCTAAGCAACCATGACCTGCGCTCTCCATGAAGACGCGCGGAAGTTTCAGCAAAGGATAAATGGATTAGCAGCACTAAAAAACGCCTGCAGTAGCTCACTACTAAATTTATTTAAAAATGGCTATCCCTGTACAGCTATGATCAGCTGTTCCTTCATCTTGGCTGAGCTTTCAATGTTGTTACGGGAAAGTGTGGCTGACTCTTAACTTTTATAAAGAATATCTCTATGGATTTGAGACTTTAGTCTTTGCAACTTTACAGATCTTCTTTATGCACCAAGAGCTTGTAACACTCCAAAGAGAAAGGAACAACTGAAATCGCATCATATGACCCCTTTAAGAATGTTTTGTGAATCCGGCCCCAGGTTTGTTGTGCTTCTTTGTAGGGCTGCACAATTTGGCCCAACATTTTGTACTTTTATATTACAAATAAATTACACAAAATAAACTTTGCTATGTAACAAAATTTTAATTACTAAAACCTAAAATAAAGTATTTAAAAATATGACAATATAAAAATTACAAAACAATTACATTTATTTCACAGACAACCTAGTTTACAAATTCTGGGGGTTTGTTAACATGCAGGCAGCCTTTGATTAAAATCATTAGAGGTCTAAGAAGCTAAGCCTTCCCCAGCCTCACAAACTATCATCAGTGTACAACACCTTTCAGGGTTCCTTGATAAATAGAAAGTTCAAAAGAACAAAATGTATCTGAAATAGAAAATGAGACGCACCTTTTCTGTTGTTCTGTTTGTTGTAAAACAAACCTTTCTTCAGCAGAATCTCAGACGCTGGAGGCGCAGCCTTATGACGTCACGTCACCACACCAAAATAAAAGTCCCGTTCAGACGGTAAAACAAAGAAGAAATTCACACACAAAAAAAGACCTTCAAATGATAAGATAAAGGATTGACTCAAAGAATAAATCACAGATTCCCAGCGCTATCAATGCCACTGATATATATATATATATACATACATTTTTTTCAAAAGATTTTGTCTTATATCCAAATGTAAGCAAGTGTGAAGTGATTTGTGATATTCTCAATAGGGGATACATTCCAGTTTCCTGATCTTCCTATTATAAAAGATTTAAAATAACTAAATACTTACAACTGGACGAAAGGGGGCTTGATATCAGTGCTGTGTCTGAGGGGCCGACAATATCCTCCACCCTGTCATCGCTCGTGGCAGTGCACTCAGCAGGCTGTGTAATGTGTGTGAACTCTTATTGTTGTTATCACTTGGCCATTTGACTTATAGCCGTGTCCAGTGCTTCCCATACATTCAGTTATTTGTGGCGGCTCGTCACTGTATCAAAACTGACCACAAAAAGGCTTATACTTCCTTGAATAAACACACTGCATGCAGCGCTGGTGTTTTTATATGAATGTATCTTTGAAAAGAACCGACCGTCTTCAGAAAAGCTTCGATGTCATTTTTATCTTTTCTTTCCTGTAATGCCTGATAAAGTAGCGTTTGTGAGCGCCGTTACCGGGGAAACCGCTATATCTCCCGCTCCAGCAGCGCCTCCTGCTGGCGGAGAATGAATCTGCAGTCTGTGGGAAACACTGTCTGTCAGCAAACATAAACTAAAAGCATGCTTCAGAAGTGTTTGAGAAGGTGCTTACAGTCCGTGTAAAGAGAATTGTATAAAGAGTATATATATATACATACTAGGACTGTCAGTTGAATGCGTTAACTTAATTAATCAGTTATGAAAATAAATATTTTGAAGGTCCCATATTGTCAAAACCAATCAGAAGAGAAGCTCATGGATATTAATTAGACAGGCCAAACTCGACCTGTTCTCAGCAGAGCTGTAAAAATATACTGAGATGGTTTTTGGTACTTATACCACAAATATATATTCTTAAGGACATCAAGACTTAAAATAAAACTCCAGAAAGGTGTAAAATATGTGACCTTTAACGCAGGAAGCGCACCCAGACCTGTACGTTATCTTACATTTCATACAGTTGACTGCTGACAAATATACTCCATAAGTGCAGTTATGCCCTAAAATTCCAGATATTGGGGATATAGATATTTCATTCACATGATAAACGATATCACACAAGCGGCGAGGGTAATATCACACGAGTGCTGTTTATGCAACACGTTCTCACTCCCAACTCGTCACATATGGACGTTTGGTCAGGACCCCTTGGTCTACTTTTTTAGGTACTGGGTACCCCTTTGGTGGATTCCCACAGACTTCTGACCGGAGCCACGCCGTTGAAATCTGACGTGTATGTAAGCAGACCGCAGCCCGTTGTCTGCTGTGTACGGGTCAAGACCACGATAAATAGGAATCAAAAAGAAAAGGCTAACGTACAATAAATTAGTTATGGCAGGCCCCCAGGTCATATTTATTATGCTCTCATGCTGATTTTTGATTTAAAAAATCTCTCGCTGTCTGATATCAAAGTGCCGTCTGTGAAACAGCGTTCAGCGGTAATGCTGGTATTTTTGTCGGAGGCTTGTTGATGATGATAAACGTATTTAATGTGCTGTGATTAATGTGTGTTAAACAATGATTAATCAGATCAATGCGATGCAATCAACCTATTATTTATTAATCTATTTATGTATTCGTTTGTTGATTGATTATTTATTTATTAATAAATCAATCAGTCAATCAGTGGTGCTGACGTCATTATAAAGCGCGATCCCAAGATCCACTGCGATGTTCCACTCGGTAAGTAGAACAGTTAATTCATACAGATGGAACAATCCTTAAATTTATGGAACAAAAACTGTTGAATCAGGTCAAGAAGTTGTGTTTAGAACCTTTAGAACTGTTTCGTAAAGCATTAAATGACAGTAGACATTATAAAAATATAACTTGCTGCACCAAATGTATAGTAGGCTTGCTAAGTTAGCTAATTAAATAAAATAAAAAATAAAAATTCCACATATAATCATGCTATGTAATATCATAGGAGATTGTATGATTTTTAGTTATGATGTGTTTTCGGTTACCCATATTACAGTAGCTCACAACACTTTAGCCATTTATAAATGTTCAGATGAAGAACAGTGTTGCCAGATTGGTGTGTTTTCCAGTAATTGTTCAAAATTATATAGTCATTACACAAATATGACCAATAATAAACCATACGAATTAATTAATAACAACAAATATATTGTGGCTCATCACAATTTTTCAATATGTCATAATAAAGGGTTAGGTGTTCTTCTCTAAAGAAGGCTATGTTGTAACTACGTTGTAAACTATTTTCCATGTCTGTCATTTGCCGCAGGCCCCCAGGTCATATTTATTATGCTCTCATGCTGATTTTTGATTTAAAAAATCTCTCGCTGTCTGATATCAAAGTGCCGTCTGTGAAACAGCGTTCAGCGGTAATGCTGGTATTTTTGTCGGAGGCTTGTTGATGATGATAAACGTATTTAATGTGCTGTGATTAATGTGTGTTAAACAATGATTAATCAGATCAATGCGATGCAATCAACCTATTATTTATTTATCCATTTATGTATTCGTTTGTTGATTGATTATTTATTTATTAATCAATCAATCAATCAATCAATCAGTGGTGCTGACGTCATTATAAAGCGCGATCCCAAGATCCACTGCGATGTTCCACTCGGTAAGTTAATTCATACATTCATACAGATGGAACAATCCTTAAATTTATGGAACAAAAACTGTTGAATCAGGTCAAGAAGTTGTGTTTAGAACCTTTAGAACTGTTTCGTAAAGCATTAAATGACAGTAGACATTATAAAAATATAACTTGCTGCACCAAATGTATAGTAGGCTAGCTAAGTTAGCTAATTAAATAAAATAGAAATAAAAATTCCACATATAATCATGCTATGTAATATCATAGGAGATTGTATGATTTTTAGTTATGATGTGTTTTCGGTTACCCATATTACAGTAGCTCACAACACTTTAGCCATTTATAAATGTTCAGATGAAGAACAGTGTTGCCAGATTGGTGTGTTTTCCAGCAATTGTTCAAAATCCACACAAAATTATATAGTAAACACTCAAATCTGACCAATAATAAATTATACAAATTAATTAATAACAACAAAAATATTGTGGCTCATCACAATTTTTCAATATGTCATAATTAAGGGTTAGGTGTTCTTCTCTAAAGAAGGCTACGTTGTAACTACGTTGTAAACTATTTTCCATGTCTGTCATTTGCCTTAAAGAAATAAAAGGGCACAACAGAAATCTCAAAATGCCACCTGTCCAAGCCCATTTTATCCCACGTGGTACAACTCAAAACCAGTCGAAAACTGCCCAATCTAACAACACTGGTGAACAAAATACTGGTAAACATGTAAGGACTTCAATTCTGAATATTTTTTTCCCTCTTATCAGGTCCTTCAAATTTGCCAGCTTCCAACATTCTCCTTTATTTCTCGCTCCACACACACACACACACACACACACACACACACACTCACACTCACACACACACACAC